ATGTTTCATTTCCAATATGGCCTTAGTGATATTGAACCTTTCAATTCTTCGATCTTGTGGGTTAGGGAGAACAATTGGAGGAGGTGGAGGAAGTGAAGCATGATTTCTTGTTCCTCGATCGAATCGTGGAATACAATCTTCATGTGGAATGCTTGTTCCACGGGATTTGGGAAGACCATAGTTGTCGAACTTTGACATCTACAAAACGGGAGAAACAAATTCAAGTTAGTTGATTGATTGAGTCCTTAGTAAATCACCCAAATGAGATACTAAGGCTAGGACTCAACACAATATTCCACAACTCGGGAGAGGGATGTCGTAACCCTAATTGCAAAATATTTGAAGGTAAGTGAATAACGATTCACTAATTTCCACCACGAAAAACGAAAAAGAAATTTAAGTTTTAAATCTATGAAAACTCCTAGATCCTTTGAGATTCATTGAACTCTCAATGGCATATTTAAATCTCGATATGCCCCTCTTGTTTGTGACTGGGATGCCGAGGATCACAAAGTGGGTGTGAATAACCATGCAAACTTACATGGTGTCGTCACATGTTACAGTCACCTATTCGATGTGCCGGTAAACCACACACGCTCCACCGAACTATGAAAACATTGAGTCACCCTTTGCCACCTTTTCTTAGAACCATTTAGTGTGCCGGTAAACCACACACGCTCCATTAACGTCTTCGGAAGGGCGCAAAGTGTAATTTCATGGAATTTCATCAATTCACTTTTGCCTAAGTAACTAAGATTGGGATTTTGTAAAACATTTAGTTAGTTTTGTACTTCATTATACTTATAATGGAAAGTTTTGTCCTATCCTACCTGTTCGGCTAACGACCCATCACTAGTCAAGAGTGCGGTGGGTAAGAGTGGATACCCATTCAATCGCCATTTTATAGGCAATTTCCTTAAACACCCCTTATAGACCAGCTTCGTGAATGAGGCCTACTAACGGTAAGACTGAGTTTTACTCATACATATATATAATATCTATCGATAACTACCCATATAGTGTCGTAACCAGTAGCAGTCTTGGGTAATTTGGTTATAAAATTCATTGCGATCCGCTCTCACTTCTACTCGGATATATATCTGGTTGTTGCAACAATCTCGAGGGTTGTTGAAGTTCTTCCTTGACCTTGGATCATGTTATACATTTACTTACGTATGTCGTGATCCTAACCTTCATGTTTAGCCACAAATAAAGAGATTTTAAGTCTACATACATCTTGTCTGCTCCATGATGTATGGAATATCTAGTCCTATGGTTCCATCTAAAACTAGTTCCTTGACATCCCTAAACTGCAGAATGCATATTCGGTTCATGAAGTATCCTGTTCCATCATCCTTAATCTCTAGTTGCTTTTCCATTCCTTTGAGGAGTTCTTCCTTAATGTTTTATTCTGTTAAAGCCTCGAGCTGAGAACTTCTAATATGTGAGATTAGGCTAGATTGGATAGTCATCATAAGTGCCTTTAACCTACGAGGTTTAACTCATTCTTTACGGATTAAGGCATCAGCCATGACGTTAGCCTTGCATGGATGATAACAAATCTCACAATCATATTCATTCAGCAACATTAACAATCTACTTTGTCTCATGTTGAGTTCTTTCTAATCAAAGATGTGCTATAGACTCTTGTGATCCATGTACACTATACACTTTGTTCCGTAAAGATAATGAAGCTAGATTTTCAACACAAAAACTATGGCTCCCATCTCTAAGTTGTGGGTGGTGCAGTTGTTCTAATGCACCTTGAGTTGTTGTGAGACGTAGACTATGACTTTCTCCCTTTGCATCGGTACACATCCTAGTCATTGACGTGAAGCATTGCAATATACTATGAAATCATTAGTACCTTCTAGAAAGATTAGTAGTGGTGCACTACACAACATTTCCTTCAACTTTTGGAAAACTATTTCTTTTTGGTCTCCCCAAAAAAAATTATTTCCTTTTGGGTCAATGTGAGAGGGGATTGGCTATATGGAAGAAATTCTCTATAAATCTTCAGTAATAGCTTTCCATTCCTAAGAATTGACGAAATTCAATTGGTGACTTAGGTGCTTACCAATCCTTCACAACCTCAATCTTGGGGGGGGGGGGGGAGGGGGGGTCAACATGAATACCTTTCATGCTTACCACATTCCCAAGAAAATGTACGTCTCTTATCCAAAATTCACACATAGAGAATATTGCATACAACTTTTCTTTCCCTAATAGCTCTAGGGTTATTCCAAGATGCTACCCATGCTCTTCCTTTGAGTATAACTAGATCAAAATATCATCGATGAATATTACCATGAATTGGCCTAAGTAGGGCTTGCATACTCGATTCATGAGATCCATAAAAATAGATGGGGCGTTGGCTTGTCTAAAAGGAATGACCAAGAACTCATAATGGTCGTATCGAGTTCTGCAAGGAGTATTTGGAATGTGCTCTCCCTATACTTGGAGTTGATGATATCCTAATCTTAGATTTATCTTAGAAAAGTAATTGGATCCTTGCAGTATATCGAAGAGATCGTCTATTTTTGTAAGTGGATATCGATTCTTAATGGTCAACTAATTTAAGTCTCTATGGTCAATGCATATCCAGAAATATCTATCCTTCTTTTTGAAAAACAGAACATGTGCTCCCTAAGGTGAGAAGCTTGGTCTGATAAAACCCTCATTAAGAAGTTACTGTAGTTGGCTCGACAGTTCTTGCATCTCCCAATGTGCCAATCTATAAAGGGACTTTGCTACTATGATGGCTCCTAGAATTAGATCAATATGAAACTCTACTTTTCTGGATGACAATAGTCCTGGTAGATCTTCAGGGAATACATCATGGTAATCGCACACTTAAGGTACCATTTTGATCCTCTTCTTGTTATTCTGTTATATCGACAGCATGGGCTAGGAAGGTTTAATAATTTTTCTACAAATATTTTTTGGCCTTCATGCATGAGATGATTCTAAGATTTCTACTAGGTTTATAGTCGTAGATGGTTAAGGATTCTACGTTTGATAGGGGTAGATTTAATGGCTTTTCAAAGCATAAGACTTCGATGAGGTTAGGGGATAACCAATCCATACCAATGATGGCTTAGAAACTTCCAATGACCATAGGCATAAGTCTACGAGAAAGGTATGATTATGTAACATTAATGTACAATTCTTAAGTATTTACTGGGTACTAATGACTTGGCCGTTATCCATTTCTACTCTATAGGCTTCCCTAAGTTTACTACATGGGTGGTTTTGATAACTTCCTAAACTCAGGATTTACATGGCTTCTATCGGCACTGGTATCGAAAACTACATTTTCATATAAGTAATAGATTAGAAACATACCAATAACTATCGTTAAATCTTGGATGGCTTCTCTAGATACTTTGAAAAATTATTGATGCCTATAATCTCCTCCTTGTCCCTTCAATGTTGGATAATTCTTCTTGATATCTCCAACTTCGTTCTACTCATTACATGCTCGACCTTCTGATGTTGTCGTTCCTTGGTTTGGTGGGGTTCTGCATCTATTAGCAAGATGACCTTTCCTTCTGTAGTTAGTGTAGATCTAACAGGCTCCAGTATATTGATACCCACACTGATTGCATTTTGGACTATTTCCAGTGGTAGTCGTTAATTGGGGTTGTTGTAAATATAAATACCTAAAATACATCCCATTTCTTTCTACTAATATCCTAGCCCTTGCCTTGGATTCCTTTCTAAACTTCCTCTTCCTATTCTCCACCCTTGGGAGATCAGCCTTCTGGACCACTATACCGCAATATATCTCTTGATTCGTCATGATGAAGTCTAGTTTATTAGCATTATCATAGGTTCTTGGCTTGGAGACAATAAATAAACCTTGAATGGCTTGGGCAGACCCCAAATGTACCTTTCTATCTTATTATATTCTAGAGTGACAATTCAGGGACATAAGGTGGCAAGGTCGTTCAAACGGTTTGTATAAGAAACAAATTCGGGTTCCTTTATTATCAAATTCCACGACTCCTGCTGAAGCTTCTACACTTCTTCGCAGGGAAAGTATTCTTCAACATAGAGTTGCTTTAGCTCACTCCAGGCCATGAAATTTGCTACATTAATGCCCATGGTTTTCATATAACTGGCCCTCAAAGTTAGAGTTGTGTCTACCAAGGTACAAGTGGTGAACTTCACCCTGTAGTATTTAGCACAAAATCCAATCTCAAAGACAGACGCCTCTCTTTCCATCGAGTCAAACCAACTACAACTTCGTTTCCATGGAAGGATTTTTCTTTATAGTTCACAGAGTCTTTATATTAACAAACCCTTGTAGGACCTCGGTTATCTCCATGTGACTCTCACCTCCATTACCCCTGGATCCTTCTTTCCTATTGGTTTCTAAGTTTGCAATTGCATTGGTGACATATTGGGTTACTAAAGCTTCACTTTCAGCCGAGTTTGTAGGTTTGGAGTTAGTTTCGGGTTGTACCGGGTTTCTCATTATACGAGGCATGACTTTATATTTATTTTATAAGTTAGTTGTTATGATAAGTTAGGGTTTTGATTTTGAGCAATTAGTTAAGAGAGTTAACTATAACAAGAAAACAAATCAAACAAGTAACACACTACACAATAGGTATATATATATATATATATATATATATATATATATATATATATATATATATATATATATATATATATATATATATATATATATATAACATTAATTTTCAATAATTTTTACATCAAGATTTTCCAAAAGTGTACAATGATGTCGTTTGAAAAAGAAAAGTTTATATTTTACATACCAAAGATATTGCAACATCCTTTAATAAGGGAATTCCAAAAAGCTTGGAGAAATCCCTGTTCGGTATCGTGCAATAATTACTGAAAAAGATGATTGGAACAAATTCGTGACATATACGCAATCTGAAGAGTTTAATGTTACAACTTTTTCCCAAAACTTCTTCATTTATTTATCATAAAATTACGAAAAAGTGCTTGACAAATCTTTTTTTTGACAGGTTGTTTCACAAAAGACTATCAAAGCGCGAAAGATGTCAAAGTACACTCATCGGATGGGATGAGGGGGGTATACTACTCTTAGGAGGAAGTTGGTAAGCTTTGTTTTTAGCTATATGATCTATTATATTACCTTCATAGTATTGTACTTAACATAATTTTATTTTATATTGTTTACAATTTAATTTTTTTTATCAAGATTTAAGAGAAAGTGATTTCAAAGGAAGAAATGCTCCCAAGGTCAATTATGTGGTGTAAAGGACGTGAAAGTAATGGAGTATTTAAGGATGAAGATGTTAAACTCATGGCGGATAAACTAGTAACCTCAATAAACATTTTTATTACTATTACTGTAAAGATTTTAATCAATTTTATTAGGACAATAATTATTAATATTTTGTGTGCTAGATTGAACAAGAAAAGAAGATAAAAAAAGGACAAGTTAATGTTGAACCGGGCACAAATGCCATGACCTTAGTTTTTGGCAAGGAAAAGGGAGGATTTTTAAAGGGTGTCAGCACAGGAGTCACTTACAACAGATATTTCAATGTTCCTCACAACAAAGGATCATCTAAGGAAGAAATTAAAGTTCTTAAAGTTGCACTACATAATGGAAAACTTGAGCTTGAGAAAAAGATGTTGAACTCAAGGCTTTGTGTACATAGGTTAATGAACAAGATCAAACACTAAAGCTAGTTTTGGCTCATCTTTATGCAAAAGGAGTTGACTTTCAAAATCTATCTCATACTGTTGTAAGTAATCTTATTAACAACATGTATTTTGAATGTTACTTGTAAATTGCATTTTTAGCCATTTTCCATGTTTCTTTATATTTGCTAGGGTATTTCATGTGACAATATTGTTGAAAGTAGTGAAACAACTCCTGCTAGTCTCAAAACCAAGCAACCTTCAGAACTTGTAACACCAGTATGTTATCATCTTATAAGATCATCATTGATATACTTTTTTCAGTACTAATTTCTGTTTTTTCACTTGGAACTTTAACTTGTTTAGGTTATTGGAAAACCCACCAAGAAACAAGTTCAAACCAACTCTGCAACTGCAACTCCCGATACACAATTGATTTCCATGAAATATGCATTAGTAGTATATACTATCTTTATAGTTTTCAACACGTTTAATTTATTGTTTATATTAAAATATAATTTTACATATAGGTCTTAAACCTTTATATTAGGCAAATACAAAACCCTCCAGAAAAGTTGTTGACTCTAAGACTGTCACTATCAATCCTAACATACCAACAGTTAGGGATGTCAAAAGGTCCCGTGGGTCCCCGATCTCAAATGGGGAATATTTGCTTGAAAAATCGAGGACGGGGCGGGGACGGGGGCAATGTTAACCCCCGTTTTAGTTTCGGGGGCGGGGGCGGGGTGGGTAGTCCCGTCCTGAACCCCCAATGGGGACCCGTTAATATATTATTTATATTAATATATTAATTATAAAAATATAATAAATAATAGCAATGATTTTGAACTTCCAAAATTCAGTTAAATATCATGTTTTTAAGCTTATAGTATAACATTTTAAAGATGTTATAATATTTTTATTTTAAATATATAAACTTATGCTATAAATAACTATATTTATCCAAAATAGTTTATTTTAGCTCAAAAAATAAGTTCTTTTAGCATAAAGAACATCTTTGTTCACCCAAAAAAACGTCAACCCAAATGGGGGCAGGGAAACAGGGGCAAGGGCGGGGGTAATCCTGTGATTCAGATGGGGGCTGGGGAGGCTAGAGATTTCGGGGGCGGGGGCGAGGGAACAGAAAATTTTCGGGGGTGGGGGATGCAATCCCCGCCCCGTTTTCCCCCGTTGACATCCCTACCAACAGTTTCACCAAATAAACCCCTTCACCAGGTATGTGTTTTTTTACATGTTTAATATACATTTATGTTTTTTTTTTTTTTTTTTTTTTTCTGATTCTAATAGAACTTATCATTGTAGCCAATCAAGTGTAGTCTACCACATCCGTATAAAAGGAACATCGTTGCTCTTGGTATCATTTATTTATCATCAGAAAGACAATTCATTCATTGAGTTCCTCTACAAGATGATTTCTATAAAGTTTCCATTGATGAAGTGGTAATGAAACAAGCATTTCCACCCCATAAAACAGGAGAATTCACATTAGTTGAGGATGCATATAAAAGTTTTGTTCCATCACCAAAATACCTTGTGCAAACCGAGTCACAGGTTTGTTTAATTATGTTCACTAATTTGTGCACTACACTTTATTTTCTTCGTAAAGTAGTATACTATGGTTTAGATAAACTCAATTTTTTTTGCTTCAATGTTGTTGTTATAAGTATCATAAATTATATCACATCAAGAACATCAACATCAAAACTCAAAGAAAAGGAAACCAACTTACATATCATCTAATGCCCTTGTCAAGAAGACAATGAGAAATACAAATAAGAAGAATGGCTAGTTATGTTTAGGTTTTGGTTTATGATGTGTTTGAATTTAATGTATGGATTTGGATTTCAATTATTACTAATATCAAATTATGAATTTTGCTTTTGTTTCATATTATTGGGTTTGGTTACTTTAACTTAAATTATTTTGATGTGTCTTAAATTGTAGAAAAAGTAACAATATATATTAAATTGAAGTGGCTTTAATATAAATTTGGCCATGTTTTATTGGTTTTCAATGTTTCTAAAATTATACAATAGTTACTTTACATCATTTTCTAACGTGTGGCTAAATGGTTAACAATAGCCATAATATACAAGAATTATGAGTTTACATTTGTTTTAAAATGATGCTTCTTCTAAAGTTTTTGTGACTAAGTTAAACAATAACAACATCAAAAACAATTTATGTGTCAAATAAATACCATAATTGATTGTTATTGTGACTAAGTACTAGCAAATCATCACTTATAAAATTAATTATATGTGTTCATTTACCGAACATGGTCATGTTCACCATAATTATATGTATTTAAAATATACCCAATAGTCTTATTATAATACCGAATAATCCTTAATTTTAACAAAATGTGTCTTTATAATACTTATGATTGTATTTCATTTAATTGTGTGTCTCTATACGATAGGCTATAGTCACAAAATTTGATTGTTTTTTGTGACTAATTATTAGCAATTCGCCACATATGGAATTAATTATATGTGGCCATTTAGCAAACACGGTCATGCTCACCATAATTACATGTTTACAAAAGATACACAATAGTCTTAACAAAATTTAAAATGTGTGACAATATAAAAGAAAACAACTACACTAAAACATCATGAATGTCGCAAGTTGGTGATATACAACAACCACAGTTACTAAATAAGTGTGTCTATTGACGGTTTAATGCTACAATATTGTATATTTAAGGAAAAAAATTCCATACACATTTGCCACACTTTTATAATACAGCCACATGTTTTCATCTCATACAGATACTAGATTTTAAAGTGACCATAACACTCATACAATGACGTCACCTTCCGTTACACTCAGTGAAAAAATAAATGTTAGTATATGCATATGGTCACACTTTTTTTGATGTGACTATAAGTCATTTTTCTTGTAGTGTCGATTTCATGGGATGACCCCTCGAAACAATACCCATCCCACTAACATTAGTCAGCTACACCAGGAGAGAGAGCGGGAGAGGAGCAATAGAATTCTCCATGATTTGCCACCTAGTAGAACAAAACATACTGTTAGGGCGCCTAACACTCTTCGAGCTGCAATCTATGCCATCAACAATTCACAGCACACGGTCCAAATTAGCAACCATTGTCGTTGACACTCCGCACAAGCGGACGTGTCACCAAATCATGGCAGCATTAGACCTGGTCAGAGCCCCCATCAAATCTAAAGCAGACCAGCCACTAGAAAATCACGTAATACATGGTGAACACCCTGAACAAGCAATAAAAATCGGAGCCGACCTATTTTCATAAACCAAAATTCAACTAGTGGCTCCACTAACACGCTTCACGGGGGTATTCGCATGGCAGCATGCATATATGACTGGAGTGGACCGAAAAATCATCTACCACAGTTTAAACATCATATCCAGTAGTGATCCGATAAAGCAAAAAAGGAGCGGGCAGACAAGTGATACAAACAAGGAAATCAATGAAGAGGTCTCAAAGCTTGTGGATGTAAGGATCCTTCGGGAAGCAATGTTCCTTACATGTAATGGTAAAGAAACATGACGACTCATGGAGAATATGCATCGATTATTTCGACCTGAATAACGTATGTCCAAAAGACCATTACCCCCTCCTGGAAATGGACCTGAAGGTCAAATCTATGGAAGGCTTCCAACTCAAATGTTTTCCTGACACCTACAAAGGCTATCACCAAGTCTAGATGCGATGGGAAGACGAGGAAAAGACCGCCTTCCACACCGATCAAGGCACGTTCTACTACCAGAAGATGCCATTCGGCCTTAAGAACGTCGATGCGACATACCAGCGCCTGATGGATAAAGTCTTTGCAGAGTAGATCGGAAAGAATGTTGAAGTATATGTCCACGACATGGTCATTATGATTCGCAACGAAGCAACGTTTCTCCAAGACGTCGAGGAGACCCTTTAGACCCTGGCGCAAGCATCGATGAAACTCAACCCGAAAAATGCGCTTTCTGGGTAAAAGAGGGCCAATTCCTAGGATAATGAATAACTAGAGAGGGAATCAAACAAACCAAGTTAAGATTTAGGAATTCTGCGATTCCAAGACCCCACACAACATAAAAAGGGTCCAAGAAATCAAGAGGAGGTTGACCGCACTAGGCAAGTTCATAGCCAAATCAGCAGAAAATTGATGGGTTTTGAGCATAACAACAATTCCTATGTGTGCATGCAACCCTAATGTTTTAGATCTAGGTTTCCTCTAATTAAACATGAAAACTTGAACAAAAAAAGGAAAAACCATAGGAAGTAACTATAGTTTTCTAAATCAACATAAAACTACGGTTAGGTTACATACCTTGATTGTTATATTGCAATAACAATAATTCCCTTGTAGATCTTGAAGCTTGAGAACTTAGTGTCACAAGTGTAACACCTCTAATGGCTCACAAACACACAATGATGAAGAATTATGATAAAGGAGGAAGGAATTTTTGGTTTCTTCTACTTAGAATCACTGTCCGAAAATCATAGGGTTTAGAACCCTTTATATAGTGCACCACGGATGTTATGGATAACCCTAATCTGAATAAAATTTCATTATCTCAAATATGGTAATTATCTACCTCCTTTGATTATCCATATATAATAACATATTCAAGAAATTCTAGAATAATCTTATATATACATATAAAATCATCCACCACCTTCCCTAGGAAGGTTCTGGACCATTTTGTTGAACTATTGAACAATTTCACTTTTATTCCCTACAATTCTAATTAATTCCTTTAATCTTAAAATTAGTTCTAAATTAATTTTTGATTAAATATTAATTAATAATATGATTACTAATTAATATATTATTTTCATAATACAATAATAAATCATTCATTCCAATTTGTTAATCAAATTAATAAATGCTTCCTCTTCCTCAATTAATCATCCTGTCTAGTTGTAAGTGTAAAGACAACCCAAAAGGACCATGCCCCTATCAATTCAAGTACATACCAATTATAGTTATGCGCTTAGACACCTAATCCAACAGTCTCCCACTTGGATAAGTTTAATAATTATAGTTGCAAGTATGACTTCAAAAATTGACAAGCAATCGTAGCTCTCATAGCTTTTTGTCGAACTCTGGCCTAGTCAGTTGCATGTGCTAAGATAAGAGATCATATAATCATCGATTCTACAAGGTATCATGTGAAGAAATGACATGGAACATAATCATTCTCATTGTCAAATAGTTTGTTTCCTGATTTCTAATTTGTAATGACGAAGAACTTAATTGAACACAATAACTCAGTCCAGACTTGCCCCAACACATGAGTCAACACCAAATCACCGAGGAGCCCAAGATATCAATTTTCCCCCTTAGGGAAACAGGAATAGATAAACTTTGACTCATATGCTTGTACTACTTACTCATCAAATCACGTACACCAATACGTTTTATAACACCAAGTTACTGATATGTTTACACATTATCAATGCACAACCAACTCGTAAAAAACAACTCATATATCTCGATTTAAAGATTATACCATACTATCGTCTTAGAATCACTTGTGATAAATTCCATGAAGTAATTCACTGAGCGTGAGTTTAATCCAATACTTAAATCCCCATTTCAAAAGTACTCATGAATGTTGCAGCAAACCCTTTCTATGTCTAAACACTTAGACAATCTACAACCAAATTCATGACAACCTTAATTCATTATTTACTTCCAAAGTATGATTTAATAAGGATATTTGAATAATCCAATTAATCGGGAAGTAAAACATGCAAAAGAAACACAATGATAAACAATTGACAAAAGATACTAAACAATACTTATAAACAAATATCCATTTATTTAATCATCAAATGTTAATTATATTTATTTGTTACAAATTTCTAAATATCTATCTAATTACTAAAACTAATAATATCCTTAAGACCAATGCTCCTCGCATGCTGAACATGCTTAATCCTACTAAGACCCTTTGTGAGGGGATCGACATAATTCTCTTTTGATGAACCCTCTTAACGACGAGGCTTTGTTATTCAACACGATGTCTAATAAAGAGATATTTTCTATCGATATGTCTTGATCTACCATGCTCTCTTGGTTCCTTGGGCAAGGAAACCGCTCCTTCATTATAGCAGAAAATCTCTATAGGCTCCTTGATGGCTTGTACAACTCCAAGATCTCTAATGAAGTTCTTCAACCATATAGCCTCCTTCATTACTTCACTCATAGCTATATATTGTGATTCACATGTTGAATCAGCCACGGTTTCCTGCTTGGAACTTTTCCATGTCACTACTCCTCCATTAAGGCTAAACATGCAGCCTGACTGAGAACGAAAGTTGTCTCTATCTGTCTGGAAGCCGACGTTATTATACTTAGTAACTCTTAAGTCATCACTTCCACCAAGCACAAGGACTCAATCCTTAGTCCTTCGCAGATACTTAAGGATGTTCTTAACCGCTATCCAATGAGCTTTACCCAGATTTCCCTGATATCGACTAACCATGCTCAAAGAAAAAGCCTCGTCAAGGTGAGTACATATCATATCATACATGATCGATCCAACGGCGAACACATATGGGACTCGACTTATTTCTACTATATCTGCATTGGTACTCAGACTTTTAGTCTTACACAGCTTGGTATTACTTTGGATAGGTAACTCCACTTTCTTTGAATTCTCCATGCTAAAACATTTTAGCACCTTATCCAAATATATGCTTGGAATAGGTCCAATTAGTCTTCTACTCCTATTTCTTTAGGGCTGGCAATTCTCGACACGACACGCGACACGACACGAAATAAATGGGTTTGGGTTGAGTTTTTCAACCCGCCAACCCGTTAACCCGCCAACCCATCAACTCGTTTATTAAACGGGTCATATATGGGTTTCTCAAAAAATAAACAGGTTGACCTACCAACCTGTATATATTCTTAATAAAAAAAATTATTTTATTTTTAAATGTATTTATGTATCAAGTATTAATATTTAATAACTATTATATAATATATACCATTTATTAATAGACCATTTGACTGTTTTGACATTATGACTCGTGGTGGATGATCTAAGGTCAAAGTCGTAACCTATAAGGCTAAGTCTGTAACATGTTTATATGAATGTTTTTAATTTTCATTTTGATGTTTAAGACTTAAATATCTAAAATTTGGACCCACGAACCCAAATCTGACCCACGAACCCGCCAACTTGTGAACCTGTATAAATAAATGGGTTGGTGGGTCATATATGGGTTTATGTTCCAAACATGCAAACTCGTGACCCGCCAACCCGTGACCTGTATATTTAAATGGGTCGTGTTTGGGTTGACATATTTTGACCCGCTAACCCACGACACGCCAACCCGAACACAACACGATTGCCATGCCTATATTTCTTAAAATCTTTATTCCTAGAATATAAATAGCCTCTCCTAGATCCTTCATAATGACACACTTTCTAAGTCAGTACATAAGTTCCTGCAAGGATGGAATGTCGTTTCATATAAGTAGTATGCCATCAACATATAATGCCTGGAAAGTCACTATACTCCCACTAGATTTGAAATACACACAAGATTTATTTTCACTTCTAGAGAAGCCAAACTCTTTAAAATTCTTGCCAAAGCAAACATTCCATCTGCGAGAAGCCATAGATTGATTTCTCAAGCTTACACACTCTATTGGGGAAATTTGGCATCCACAAAACCCTCTGACTGACTCATGTAAACATCCTCATCCAACTTTCCATTAAGGAAAGTGGTTTTGAAATCTATCTGCCAAATTTCATAGTCATGAAACGCAACTATGGCTAACATAACCCTAATAGATTTAATCTTAGCTAATGGTGAGAAGGTCTCATCATAGTCAATCCCTGGGGTTTTAGTAAAGCCCTTCACAACTATTCGAGCCTTGAATGTGTGCACCTTTCCATCCATGTTGGTCTTCTTCTTGTAGATCCATTTACACCCAACTATCTTAATACCTGGTACATTGTCAACCAAGTTTCATACTTGATTGTCATACATGGACTTGATCTCGCTATCCATTGCCTCTTTCGATTTAGCAGACTCAGGTCCTGCCATGCCCTCCTTGTAGAAGGCTCATCCATATTTACCAGTGTAATATCACTAATACACATATCACCATCTGTAG